CTCGGTACTTCGAATGTCAAAGTCATTCATTGCATGACCGACTGAAGGTCGTCATCAAATCTGAAGAGACTACATTTAGAAATAGCATTCCAACAGTGGAAATGCTCGGTATTACATTGCGAGGTAAGTTTTATTCTCTATTAGTTACTGCAATTCTTTTCTTTAAAATATATTTTGTTTTCTAAAAGTTATTTAAAAATTTTTATTTTTCCGTAGAAAATATTTAGCAATTTTTCACGTAGAATTAAATGACGTTGTTAGTTTCTGAAACCCCGAATTTAATAAAGAAGAAGTTAAAGAATTTAATCTCTAACTATTAAAATTCAATAATATGTATTAAATATAGTTAAAATTTGCCTGAAATAAAACAACAATGTTTAAAGTCATTTTCTTTATTTATTACTTAATGATTTGTAATTAAGCTTACAAAAACGCCCTTTTCATGGCATATGTTGAGAGAAAGTATTTAATTTTGTGTAGAATAATCATTTGAATTCTCGGAGGACATTGAGTCAGATGAAGAACTGGGTAATGAGTACGGATTTTGAGGAGAGGGGGCATTATGTAAATTGTCATAATACGTGTATGATGAAGAAGGATGAGAAGTAGTTTCTCTTTGAGGATAAGGAGAATGTCTTGGACTGGTATTGGAATATGTACGACTGGTAGGAGATGACGGTATTTGTGGCGGAGGTTGCATGACGGTAAAAGGGTTATGTTGATATCCGGTAAATGGTGAAGCAATATAAGTTGATTGGTAAATTATTCTCTTCTTATCTTGTATGCTTGAAATTACTCGCAAAACCCTCATTTTAAAATCAAGAATTTCATCGTCATCAAATCCGTTCAAATGAGGAACTAAACTCTGAAAAAAATCCATATGTGGATTTGAAGGAGATGACAGCGCTGTCAGCAAGTTTTTTTCAAATTCATTGGTGTTTTGGTTTTTTTGTGCAACTGTTCCTTCTACCTGTTTTTTGCGGTCTAGGTGAAAAATCTACTTCCATGTTTTCTGATGATTTATCCAAATCCGAGACTTCAATATCTTTGTCTTCGGAATTGTTCTCTACATCCAAACTGTCGGTAGTTTCTGTAGAATCATGTAGTTTTGATAAAAAAAGCTGGTGGTGGTATATATATTGCTTGGTAACCCTTGAGACTCCAGCACTACTCACTGTAACAATAAAATAGCACATTAATGCAAAAAAATTTTTAAAAAAAACTTTTTTTAGGTATCTTGCAAGTGGGTGTACATTTTTTGACCTGCACTACAACTTTAAAAGTGGTGCCTCAACAGCAATTGAATCTAATTTAATTGAATTGCCAGAAGATAAATGTTTGCCTGGCACTTCAGATCAAAAAATTCCCCACTTTTTAGTTGGAGATGAAGCATTCGGCCTACAAAAAAATTTAATGAGGCCATATGGGGGATCACATTTAACACCCATGAAAAGAATATTTAATTATAGGTTATGTAGAGCTCGACGTTTTGTTGAATGCGCTTTTGGCATTTTAACTAATAAGTGGGGAATTTTCCATCGTCCTCTTAACGTAAATCCTAATTTTGCAAATATCCTTATCAAAGCTTGTGTTGTTCTGCACAACTTTATCCGTGATAGGGAGGGTTTTGTTCCCGAACACACAACAACGATAATTGGACTCGAAGATTTGCAACCAGATCAATCCGTACGAGCTGGTATTTCAGCAAATTCTCTGAGAGACGTATTAGGAAACTATTTTCTAACAGACGTAGGATCTGTGCCTTGGCAAATGAGCAAAATATAATTTGAAATTCCTACACTGAGAGAAATGGTTGGTTAAGAGTACCATTTAGTTAGTAAGAATGTTGTTGCTAATTTTTATTAGTTACTATTACCATTTAATTAGTTACTTCAGCCATTTAGTGTTGCTCATTTTCAAATAAATAAACTTTTTCAAAAAATCATTCTAAATAGTAGAATTTTAATACTTGTACGTGACTTTTAAAGTAATTTTCTAATGTAATAATTATTAAAATATAAAATACTTACTATAGTTGTTTTTATCTTTCGATTCCATTGTAGGGTAATTCCTATTTAATTCCTCACACACTTCTTCCCAACCTTTTCTTCTTTCATTTCTATCTTTAAAAATGTCTGTGGTTTTATCCCAAATTGCAGGTCTCATTTGTACTAAAGAAATAAGATAATCGTTGTCTAAATTATAACAACTGAACTGATCACAAGAATTTGTCAACTGACGATGAAAACTCATCTAGTGCCTAAACTCGGTGTTCTAGTGAATAAGGCACCACGGGGCGTCCGGAGTGGCGTTCTCGGGCCTAATGACACTTGTAGTTTATGGATATTAATGAGTTTTTCCAAAAAACAATAAAATTTTTAATTATAAACATTTTTAATTTTCTGTTAACATATTCGCATTCCTTAGAATTTCACGATTACAGGCATATGTTGATCCAATTAAAAATGTTAATATTTGAAAATTTTGGATGAATTTATCTAATAAATGTATTCTCAAAAAAATTTTTTTTTTAAAATAGATCTTCAGATTTTTTTGAAACTTATTTTTTAGTACTTATTGAGAAAAAAAAGCCAAAAAAAATTTTAAATAATGAAAGCTAGTCTCAAATAGTACTGTAAGAAAAATAAATTTCAAAGAAATACCGGCCCGGCCGATAGAGTGGGGGTATACCACTTCCCCTACGGGAGTGAAACGGCTACTGCCCGCATGACAATGCACTAATGACAATATAATCACTTTTTAATTATCGAGTTAATGGCAATATTTCTTCTAAAAGTTGTAATGTTTCAAAGAAAATAAAATTAACTTCACCGTGCACTGCAAAACTGCAAGCAAGCAGCATTCTACTAAAAATGAATCCCGGTACAGACACAGAAAATTAAAAGGCATTAAAATAATAAGCGTTGCAGCTAATTTTAATACTTATAATTTTCTGTGGAGAAAATCTACCTGAAACCTAGAAAAACGGCCAACAAATTGTGGTCTAGTGTGCGTTCATACATTGGATTCCATAAGCGACTGCTTCGCCGACAGCACGCCGACACTTTTGTCGTGTCGGTGGAAAATCGTCTAGTGTGCGCACGCCTATGCTCTTCTTCAGTCGACGGGGGCAATTTTGTCGACCGACTTGTTGTCGGTTGACACAAATCGGCTAGTGTGCGCCGGGCCAAAAGGCCGACGTTCCCCACTTTATTTATAATATCTCCATAGTTGTGCTCCACCGTTAAAAATTGAAGAAAAAAACATATTTTTTAAAATATTCTTTATTTAAAATATGAAATGTGAAAAAGTAAGATAATTTACATAAAATAAAGTAATAGGTAAGATAGTAAAAGAATAATTTATATCAAATTAAATTATTTTAAAAATAATTTATTAAACTGGGTTTATTTCATTAGCAGTGAATACAGATGTAAAAAGTCTCATCTCACTAAAGAACAATATTTAAATTGCATAAAATATTCGAAATATTCATAAATAATGCGAAATAAAAATAGAGAGTGCGTATTAGAATTAAAAATTGTTAAATATAATGTGAGGCACAACTCCCTACTAACGCTGGAGCATTGCTCTCTATTTTCTACACTTTCAAAATAGTCATAGATTAATTGATACATCGAATGTTTGTGCGAATTTTTTTTGTACGTCGAAAAGTTATTCAGCTAATTTTTATGCACTAAATATTCCCAGATAGCAAAATGCGCTCACAGTGTCAGACATGTAGCTCGCACGCGTGCCTATTAATCGTCACGCGTGCTCTCACTGGAGCAAATAGATGCGTCCTCACATGCTGTTAAACTTGACTGTTAGATAAATATGCTTTTAGTGTAAACTTTAAACTGTTAAGTATGAAATAGTAATACATTTCTAAATAAAAAAGCGCGTTCTGACCCCAGTGGCATAACCTACACAACAATTTGTATAAGATTAATGCTACCTACATGGAAAAAATTATCTGCGCATTTCACAAAAGTTTCGGTGAAATATACGCGAATTCTACAAACAACTTGTTTTGAAAAAACACAAACTTCCATTTAAATTTGATTAATGTCAATCTGTCATTTCAACAATTTATTTTTTTGTAACAACAAAAAATTTAATTACGAAAGTTGTAAAAATGGAAAATTTAATATTTCTTATGTTAATTTATTTTTGTTATCTTGAAATACTTTTAATTAGGAATCCTAGTGAAATTTAATGATTTTATAAAAAGTAAATAAAGTTTTCAATAATGAAATTTTGAGGTTATGATTTGACATTGAACGGAAAATAGACAACATTCATCAAATACTTTTGCATTTGTGTGACATTTTTACACCCGTCTATGCAACCAACTTGTATAAAACATTTGACGTGCGTTGTGACGAGCATTAAATTACTCGCATGTCAAGTGCGTAATGTGCATCGCAATATTGTTATCTGGGTTGTGATCACTTTAACAAAATTAGTGGAAATGACCTATACATACACAGAAAAAAGTTGGACTCATATTTGTTGCATCTCAAAATGAGTTCATGTTAAATGGCATAGAACGTGGTGCCACCTGCCTGTCTCATTTTTTATGCATATCAAATTAAATATGAATTTGTTCGAAATTCAAAAATTCAACTCTTTCTGCATAAAGAGTTGAAAAAAACTTTTAGAACAAAATTTTAACTCACTATCTGGAAAAACACGAAAAATGCATGCAAAGATGACGGGTACCACTTAAAAAGTTAGCTCTTAACGAGAAAAGAATATGCCCATAGTTTAAATTTTTTTATTAATTGCTATAATAAAAAAATTAACGTGGAGCACGACTCTACATGAGGCAAAACTACACACTCTTCTTATTATGTGAAAAATTATTATTAGGAATAATGCTATGTGTTAAAAACTAATAATCAGTTTATTTTTCAGGACTCTCAGCAAGATTTTATAAAATTTTCTATTCAAAAGATTAGAAAAGCAATAAAAAAGAAGCAAATATTATATCTTACCATACTGTAAGTTTCCAAAGATAATGTAAAAAATTTTCCAACAGAAACTTTAGATTCTTTAAAACTTCTTATCATCATCATTAACAATACTTTTTTTATCCTCGAAGGCATTTTGTACCAATGAGAAGCATACCTGAGTCAAATAATATTGTTATTATATATGAAGTATTTTATAAATTCACTAATGGTCAGAGTCATACTACCATCCATTTTTTGATGTATGAAAAATATCTTAAGAACGTTGGAGAATTGACATTGTTTCCCCTAGAACTCAAAATATTTTAGAGAGACTTTTTATTGCGGCCCTGCAAGGGAAAATAATAGTATTTTTTTTCTAAAACATGATTCACTACAATTTACTGAATAATTGGAATAAAGTTTTGTTAATGATAGTAAAAAATGTGATTTTTTAGTGTTTAAAAAGATATTTATAATATATTTTAGTTATTTATTGAAAGGATTTTCGAGAGCGCGAAAAGATCAGTTTTACAACTACATAAGTAATCATTTTATGCAGAAAATACTCACGGTTTTGTCGAAAATGAGAGGGCAAGAGCACGTTATCAAATTTTGAACTTTTACTTTTATTCATTTTATAATATTCCAAAATGAAAATGTAATATTTGGCCTAAAATTTGTATATTTTCACAGAATTTAAAGGGCCGATTCAACATCTGCGACGGTCACTTTCAGTACTATTGATTATTTTTCACAATTTTGACCATTCATCAGGCGGTCGGTCGGTAATTCATTGTGTGTATCACGATAGTAACCAAAGTGTCTGTTCCAGGCGCTGGTACAACGAAAGAAATTAGCAATGGGCCCTTTAAATTTTGTGAAAATATACAAAGTTTAGGCCAAGTATTACGTCTTCATTTCGGAAAAATATAAAATGATCAAAAGAAAAAGTTTATAATTTGATAATGTACTCTTGCCCTCTCATTTTTGACAAAACCGTGAGTATTTTCTACATAAAATGATTAGGGCAACGTCGGTAGTAGCGAGACACGCTTTATTTTTTTGGTGTAGCACTCATATTTTCATAAAAATCAAGTCCGCATCTATATCGGCGGACAGGCTGGATTATCTACTGCAAATTTACTTCATCTATATATCATAAGTCTTCAAAAAAGAAAGTTATCGCCAATTTACGATAATGTCTCGCGACTACAGACATCAGAAAACGTCGGTAGTGGCGAGACACTATTTTAAATCATAGTTAAATCTGTCATTAAATTTTAAATCCTGTCCATTGAACTGTCATGTACAGTGCTCTAGGAATTTCGAAGGAATCTTAAACACCAATAAATTAAAGCACTTATTGTTCATAAAAATCCGGAATTTTTTTTTATAGGCACTTTTCCTTTCGAGAAATAAAACTTTCAAAGTTGCTTGAAACTATTATCAGCTGTGTGGCGAAAGATTTTACGTCAAAAAAGAGTGCATCATATAGAAAAGCTTTAGTACAATAAAACTTCACTTTTACATCAGAAGCGGGAGCACCGTCAACTCAGATGTTTGAAATATCGCAATGTCTCGCCATACCGGCCGTCTCGCCACTACGGACAACGCCCTACTTATTTAGTTGTATAACTGATTTTTTTTCGCTCTCGAAAACCATTTCAATAAATAACTAAAATTTATTATAAATATCTTTTTAAACACTAAAGAATCACATTTTTTACTATCAATAACAAAACTTCATTCCAATTATTCAGTAAATTGTAGCAAATCATTTTTTAGAGAAAAAATACTATTATTTCCCCTTGCAGGACCGCAGTAAAAGGTCTCATTAACATATTTTTAGTTCTAGGGGAAACAATGTCAATTCTCCAACGCCCTTAAATGATAAAATGTATTAAAAAGTTAAAGTTTTTTTACTTTATTTATTAAAATTATAAGAAGATTAAACCCTGAAAGAACTTATTTCAGCTATATTTTATTAAGATATTAAAAAAAGTGTAATGTTCTATTCTTCATAAAAATTTCAATTAGTTCTAAAATAATTACCCCTTTTTAATGTTCTTAGGCTTATTTTAAAGGTCATTTTCTACACAATGAGAATTCTTTCAATGGTACGAATAAGTTGGAGAAGGATAGAGATTCATGTCCGCCCCTCTCTTACGATTGCGTTTTCATTTAAGTTCCGACCCAGGTGCAAATGATTCGTAAGGAATTCGTTTGGAATTCGTTCGGAATTCGTCCAGATTTCCGAAAGAATTCGTTTAGAATTCGTTCACATTTCCTGTCGAATTCTGGAAAACGCCGTGTGGCGATTTGAAACAGAATTCGTCCATAATTTAATAGGAATTCGTGCGACTTATTTCAGAAAAATGAATACAAAAAAAAATTTTGACCAAATTTTCAACCGAAATTCGTATGGTATTCGTGCGAATTACTAACGAATATTTTAAAAACAGTTCGTGTGGATTCCAATAAGAATTTGATAGGAATTCAGAACGGAATTTTGGCTGATAAATATTTTGAAAAATATATTCGTCCACTTTTTCGACCGAATAGTGCGCGGTATTCGTGCGAATTACCAAGAAATTCTTTAAATAAACTTCGCGTGGATTCCTATAAGAAATTGATAGGAATTCCGAACGGAATTTAGGCTGAAAAATATTTTTAAAAAAATATTCGCCCACTTTTCCGAACGAATAGTGCGCGGTATTCCTGCGAATTACTAAGGAATTCTTTAAATAAACTTCGTGTGGATTGCTATAAGAAATTGATAGGAATTCCGAACGGAATTTTGGATGAAAAATATTTTTAAAAAAATATTCGCCCACTTTTCCGAACGAATAGAGCGCGGTAGTCGTGCGAATTACGAAGGAATTCTTTATATAAACTTCGTGTGGATTCCTATAAGAAATTGATAAGAATTCCGAACGGAATTTTGGCTGAAAAATTTGTTTAAAAAAATATCCGCCCACTTTTCCGACCGAATAGTGCGCGGTATTCGTGCGAATTACTAACAAATTATTTAAATAAACTTCGTGTGGATTCCTATAAGAAGTTGATAGGAATTCCGAACGGAATTTTGGCTGAAAAATTTGTTTAAAAAAAAGTCTTCCCACTTTTCCGACCGAATAGTATGCGGTATTCGTACGAATTACTAAGAAATTTTTTAAATAAACTTCGTGTGGATTCCTATAAGAAATGGAAATAAATCCGAACGGAATTTTGGCAGAAAAATATTTTAAAAAATATATTCGCCCACTGTTCCGACCGAATAGTACGCGGTATTCGTGTGAAATATTAACAAATTTTTTTAATGAATGCCGTGAGAATTCCCATTAGAAATTAATTGATATTAATTCCACATGGAAATCCGTCAAATGAATTTTTTTAAAAAAATTTTTCACCCAAAATTCCGTTCGGAATTCCTATCATTTTCTTATAGGAATCCACACGAAGTTTATTGGAAGAATTTGTTTGTTATTCGTACGAATACCGCGCACTATTCGGTCGGAAAAGTGGGCGAATATTTTTTTTTTTAATTTTTCACCCAAAATTCCGTTCGGAATTCCTATCATTTTCTTATAGGAATCCACACGAAGTTTATTTGAAAAATTTGTTAGTTATTCTTACGAATACCGCGCACTATTCGGTCGGAAAAGTGGGCGAATATTTTTTTAAAAAAAATTTTCGGCCAAAATTCCTTGCGGATTTCCTATCAATTTCTTATAGGAATCCACACGAAGTTTATTTAAATAATTTGTTAGTAATTCGCACGATACCGCGCACTATTCGATCAAAAAAGTGGGCGAATATTTGAAAAAAAAAAATTTTCAGCCAAAATTCCTTGCGGATTTCCTATCAATTACTTATAGGAATCCACACAAAGATTATTTAAAGAATTTGTTAGTAATTCGTACGAATACTGCGCACTATTCGATCGGAAAAGTGGGCGAATATTTAAAAAAAAAATTTCAGCCAAAATTCCTTGCGGATTTTCTATCAATTTCTTATAGGAATCTACACGAAGTTTATTTAAAGAATTTGTTAGTAATTCTTACGAATACCGCGCACTATTCGGTCAGAAAAGAAAGAAATTTTTCAGCCAAAATTCCTTGCGGATTTCCTATCATTTTCTTATAGGAATCCACACGAAGTTTATTTAAAGAATTCCTTAGTAATTCTTACGAATACCGAGCACTATTCGGTCGGAAAAGGGGGCAAATATTTTTTTAAAAAAAATTTTCAGCGAAAATTCCTTGCGGATTTCCTATCAATTTCTTATAGGAATCCACACGAAGTTTATTTAAATAATTTGTTAGTAATTCGCACGAATACCGCGCACTATTCGATCGGAAAAGTGGGCGAATATTTTTTTAAAAAAATTTTTCAGCCAAAATTCCTTGCGGGTTTCCTATCAATTTCTTATAGAAATCCATACGAAGTTTATTTAGAGAATTCCTTATTTATTCGCACGAATACTGCCCACTATGCGGTCGGAAAAGTGGGCGAATATTTAAAAAAAAAATTTCAGCCAAAATTCCTTGCGGATTTCCTATCAATTACTTATAGGAATGCACACGAAGATTATTTAAAGAATTTGTTAGTAATTCGTACGAATACTGCGCACTATTCGATCGGAAAAGTGGGCGAATATTTTTTTAAAAAAATTTTTCAGCCAAAATTCCTTGCGGGTTTCCTATCAATTTCTTATAGGAATCCATACGAAGTTTATTTAGAGAATTCCTTATTTATTCGCACGAATACTGCCCACTATGCGGTCGGAAAAGTGGGCGAATATTTAAAAAAAAAAATTTCAGCCAAAATTCCTTGCGGATTTCCTATCAATTACTTATAGGAATGCACACGAAGATTATTCAAAGAATTTGTTAGTAATTCGTACGAATACTGCGCACTATTCGATCGGAAAAGTGGGCGAATATTTTTTTAAAAAAATTTTTCAGCCAAAATTCCTTGCGGGTTTCCTATCAATTTCTTATAGGAATCCATACGAAGTTTATTTAGAGAATTCCTTATTTATTCGCACGAATACTGCCCACTATGCGGTCGGAAAAGTGGGCGAATATTTAAAAAAAAAAATTTCAGCCAAAATTCCTTGCGGATTTTCTATCAATTTCTTATAGGAATCTACACGAAGTTTATTTAAAGAAT